GCGCTGCCTCGCCGCCCGCGCCGCGCCGCCGTCACCCACGCCGCCGCTGTTCGGATCCCGCCCGTCGCCGCCTGTTTTTCCAGTCCGTTCCGTTTTTTTAGAAAACCCTAGATTGGTTTTTTTATTTTTTCTTTAGACCGGTTCGGTTTTTCTCGGTTTAGTTTCGCTTGCGAACATTCGTTCGTTTGTTCGTTTTAACGTACGAATTCGTCCGTTCGTCTCTGTTAACGAACGCTTGCGCCGTAGTTTTTTCTTTTTATTTTATTTTTTTGCCAGGGACCTATCCGCGATTACTTTTATCGCAGATTAGCCCCTGATCTTCAAACCCTTGCAACTTTTTAACCGTTCGTCCAAATCCAGTGAAACCAACGCCAAAATCTTCGCCTCGAGCCCCTCGTTCTGTTTAATCAACTTGAACATGGTTTTGAAAATTTAAAATTTGTTTTCAAGCAGATTTGAATTCAAAGTTTTTTTGAGCGTAGTTTCAGTTCCGTAGCTCCGTTTCGATTGATTCTTTTTGCAAATTGAACCTCTTCAGTTGAACTTTCAGATTGGATCTTCTTATTTGAAGCTTTCCCCTTGCATCTATGCTTGAGTGCTTATGTATGCTATTGTTTGTTTGCGATAGAATTCCTGGAGTGCGCAGCGTGCTACTTCGAGTCTCTAGGTTTTGCGGATCATCAGCAAGGCAAGTAACACATTGATCATACCCCTTTATTACCCAATTTTTATGCATTAGCTACAATCCTCAAACATTACATGAGTAGGATCTTTTAACATGTGGGTTTTGGGAAGTAGATGATGAGGTAGAACCTATTGCCCTTTTATTATCAAACCCTTGGGAGTTACTTCTACGTTATGCTTATATTGCCATGCTATGCTCGTAGACGTGGATTGGGTTCGAGTGTATCCATGACAGATGTGAGATTGTTAATTAATGGTTAACTTAAGGTGGCTACTTAAATACACATCTAGGTGGATTGGTTGCGGACACCTGGGGATATACCAGTGATGTCCTTTTTTGTTCGCCACCCAGGCTCTAAGGGATCATAAGATTATTCATGCTAGAAACTTCCGTGTGCAGCCACAAGCTATTATGGGATCTAGCATAGTTGAGTATGTTGCATGACCTCTTTCAGTGGTGGGCTAGCAGATGTAGGGGAAAGTAGGTGTAACTGTCCACCCAGAGTAAAGAGTTAATGCTTCTGAAAGACTATGTCTCGGTCATCCGTTTCTCAAACACCATGTAGTGCGAGAAATCCAACGGAGGAGATCGAGTCTTGTGGGAAAATTTGCGCAAACCTCTGCAGAGTGTATAAACTAATCATGGTTAGCCATGTCCCCGGTTATGGACATCTTGAGTATCTAGTTCTTAGATTATTCTATGGATCTCGTCACTCTAAATTAATTTGTTGGGATGTTAATTACTTTTAATTGGGATTGAGATTGGGATTTACCATTCTCAATGTTTATCAACTACCATGATAGTTAAATAAAAATATTCCTTTGATATAGGAAAGAATTGGCTTTTCGCAAAACATTATAACCATAGAGCCTCCACCAGCCATATATGCATGTAGTGATAGCATTTATTTTGTTCATTGCTCTACTGTGTTATATTGCCAGCATATTCCATGTGCTGTCCCGTTTCGGGCTGCAACCTATCATGTTGCAGACTTTTCAAACGAAGAGTAAGGTGCGCTAGGTCGTTTGTCGTGCACTCAGCTATGCCGTTGGAGTTGATGGACTCACTTTATCTTCCAAGACTTCTACTGTTATCTTATTTAGATGGCCTTAAGCCATATTTATTGTATTAGGTTCTCTTTTGAGGCTATCGATGTAATAAGTGTGTGATTGCCACTCTGTTATAAATCCTTCAAGTACTGTGTGTGTCAGCATTACCGATCCAGGGATGACACTTATGCACAGAGATTTGACCGTCTGAGGTCAGATCGCTACAAGATGGTATCAGAGCACACGCTGATTATAGGACACAACCACTAAGATGAACCATAGGTCACTCTTCTCTACTCATTTTCGACTCCTCTCCATTTTCTACTCTATAAGATGGCGGACTCAAGGAACAAGTTTTCACAACCGGATGAAGACACACCTTTCGGGAGACACTTGAAGGAAGTCACTAGGTACCTGAACATCGGAATACCAAGCTTCACCGAGAAGAGGAGCGATGGATGATTCGAGTTCAAGTTCCAGGAAGGACATCCACGCCAGTCAGTGAGCCCATATAGTTTTCCTTTGATGCACCAACCTGGAGTCTAGGAAAGAGCATGGCAGCCCACATCACCATAGGACGCATCAGCGAAATTTATCACAAGGATCTTAAGGACACCATCTACCAGATATGTGGGAGCCGAGATGAGCAATGGGAGATGATCAGCACCAGGAAGGACAGGTCCATTGCAGCCTTCATCTAGGAGTTAAACCAGCACATTCATCACCAGGAGAACCAGATGTGCGCGAGCATGATAGATCTGAAGAAGTTGATGACTAGGAACATGGATCTTGAAGAGGAACTCAAGTATACACACGACGGATATGAGGAGTAAATCACAATACTAGTGGAGAGGAATGACGACCTGACAAGGAATCTAGGAGTATTTATGGTAGATCCCGCGCCAGGAGGAGATGACGACCATCCCAAGGACTACATCATCATCGATGACACCGACTCTGACCCCGACAGTAGTGATGATGATTACGAAGACGAAGCTGGAGCGGATATCATGGAGTCTTCCACTGATCAAAATTTCTAGTAGACCACCATATTATTAGTAGTATTTCCCCATGTATATAGTAGTACTCCAAGCACTGTAATGATAGTTAGATCGATTGTATGCCCTTGCTTGAATTGATTTTGGTGTGATATGAATGTGTTTGTCTCATGTGCATATGGGTAGTGTTTTCTCACTAGACCTCATTCTATTCTAATCTCTCCCCTCTAAACCCATCAGATGCCTCCGAGACGTGACCCCGGATTTGCCTTCCCACCGGAGCTCACTCAGTTGATCCAATAGCAGAATACCCTGATGCAGTTGCTAGTCCAGAACCAAGGCAACAACAACAACAACAACAACAATCCACCGCCACCACCTTCAGTTGACAATTTAGCCCGTTTTCTAAGGTTGCAGCCGCCGGTGTTTTCCAGTAGCACCAAGCCGATAGTTGCTGATGACTGGCTACGCAGGATTGGAAGGGAGTTGACCACCGCAGGTTGCACAGATGCAGAGAAGGTGCGTTT